ACACAAGAATTTTTATTACTTGTCATTTGTATTATCACAGTGCCTAGGAGCTGCAGTCATGAACTAGGAACCTATTGTGAGAGTTGCACAGTGGCGGAACTGGGAACTGAACTAAACTTTGGCTCAGCTGATTTCAAACTATGTCCACTTCGATAAAACCCTTTTTCAAGTCAGAACCTGCAAACTTAATGCATGTTCAGACAAAAATGTCTCCACTGCACATTAGAGTAAATGTTCATCAAAAACTTTTATCTACAAATGTAAATTAATTAGTCATTACATTCACTTGCTCTGTTTAGAAACATTTCAGTACTACATACTGAAATGTTGTCTTTTTCTACTGCTTTTCAACCTAATATTCTCTCCCCCCCATTCAAGTAGTAAAATAAGGTTCCAATTACTTTTCCAGTGTTATCCATTTTACTCGAATATTCTTAGTTGTAGAGCAGGCAGGCCTTCCTGATGACACCTATCTATAACTCTTTATATCTCACTGGAAGTAATGAAAGCATCCTCCAAGGTTTCTTCCCCATTTTGCCCTTAAAAAACATCTGTGTCTGCATTACCTTGTAAAAGACTGAGCCAGTGTATGGGGCCCTGCAATTCTCAATGCACGTGCCTCTTACCATAGTGGAAACGCAGAACTGAATATGGAATCTTGTTAATATGGAAATTACTAAAGGCAAATTCCTAGACATATAAGGGCGTGAGTATTTTACCAGAAACAGAGAGAGAGGAGTAAACTGCGTAGCCAAAAACCTAATATCCTGATGACAAAGCATAGCCCACTTCCAGTATATGGGGGTGGAAGGAAAGAACTTTGCTCTTGTTAATTTGTCTGCTTTACAGCAGCAGTGAAAATTGCCAAGACATTGACCAGTTTTCATATTGATGCAATTATTTTCCAGGTGAGAGCCAGCTTCTTAAAAAAAAAAAATAACCTTCTCTATTTAAAAAGAAAATAAAATACAGTTCCTAGCCCTATGTTTGCAAATCTCCCCCCCCCCAAAAAAAAACCCTAAAAAACTTCAAATCTTCTGTAAGCGAACTGAATGTTTTTAAAAAAATCAGCATTATCCTCCTGAGTCTACACTCAAACAGCTCTTGTGCCTCTGTTACTGTGAAGAGCTTTGTCAAGCTGCAGCCAAATGAAAACCGGAAAGTGTCCTATCAGTTTTCACTGCTGCCATTCAGAGCCCTAATGGGCAGCAGTAAAACCTATGAAGACTCACAGTAAATGTTTTAGGTCAGGATTGTCTTGATGAATGAGTTGGAGGTAAAGAAGCTGGGGCTTAATATTAAAAATTTCCCAAGCCCTGCTCATGAGTGACATAGAAAAGTACCATAGATGCTACTAGCCAGAGATATTTCTTTTTGCCTTTTATATAAAACTTGGAA